GACCTTTTAAGAAATATTTGCTTCTGGATGCTGAAAGACATACTCAGATACAATGGAAAAAACATAGCTATCCTTTTATCACTTCTCACCTCTACTCTGTGAGAGATGCAGGTTATATCCCTCAGGAAATTGACCAGATTTCAGGTGACAAAAACACAGCCATTGTCATAACCTTTGGCCAACACTTCAGACCCTTCCCCATTGATGTTTTCATTCGCAGGTCCATCAGTGTTCGACAAGCTATTGAACGACTATTCCTAAGAAGCCCAGACACTAAAGTRATCATTAAGACAGAAAATATCAGGGAGATGCACTTAGAAACAGAGAGGTTTGGAGACTTCCATGGTTACATTCAGTATCTTACCTTGAATGACATTTTCAAAGATCTCAATGTGAGTGTCATTGATGCCTGGGACATGACCATTGCATATGGCACCAATAATCTCCACCCACCTGATGTTGTGATTGGGAGTCAGATTAACATGTTCTTAAACTACATTTGCTAAATAAAATATTTGCAAAGTCACTAGGAACCAATTTTCACATCCCTTGTGTATTTTCAATGAAATTTTATTCATTTTAAGGACTAAGACAATCAAACATAAAAGAACCTACCCATGGAATTATTTGTGAGAAACTTAAAAGAAAGACAATAAGAATGGAGATGAGATACAAAGTTAAAAAAAATCATATATTAAGAATGACCATACCATGCCTGAAGCATGAATATGTGTGATAATGAGTGTTTTCATATTTGAAGCAATTTTGGGTAATGATCTTTGGTTACTCCTGGCTGAACCAATGGAAAAGTAGAAAAGAATAAACATGTTATTGTCGTGATGCTTTAAAACAGTCACATGACATTCTCTGTAAAGATATACATAGTAACTATTTTGGAATCTGCAGGCTATCTTGCCTCTGTCACAACTGCTCTACTCTCCACTTTTGCACTTTTGTACTGCAAGAGCAGCCACAGATAACATGTGAACAAATGAGTGTGTTGTGTTTCAATAAAATTTAATGAATGCACAAGGAAACTTGTATTTCATATAATTTATACTTTTCAGAAAATATTATTATTTTTATTTTCACAAACTGTTCATAAATGCAAAAACTATTCTGAGATCATAGGCACTTAAAAATGTGGTAGTTGTATTTAGCCTCTAGACAATATTTCTTTTTTTTTATATAAGTTCCACATTGCAGTGTGGTTCTTATTTAAAAAAAAAAAAGAGAGAGAGAAAGAGAGAAAAAAGAGAGAGAATTTTTAATATTTATTTTTTATTTTTCGGCGGATACAACATCTTTGTTTATATGTGGTGCTGAGGATTGAACCTGGGCTGCATGCATGCCAGGTGAGCGCGCTACTGCTTGAGCAACATCCCCAGCCGCTCCAGACAATATTTCACTGTTACCTGATTTAAAACAAAAAAATTTGATAAAATTAAAACTAAMAATTCAGAAAAACTGAACAAAAATCTTTCATATGTTGTGTAGAAAACTAATAATAATGTAGAAATAGACAAAAATTACCTAACTTGAGAAAATTTATCTACCCCCAAACTACAAGCAACATCAATTCTTGAGTGAAGCACAAAGATCATTTCTTAATAAGTCAGATACAAACCCAAGAACCTTTCACTAGCTCTATCCACCCATGAACTGCAGTACATGTCAGAAAAGAATAGAGTAACTGCTCCTATTTCTTCATCCCCTTAGGAAACAATCAAAAGCCTAAATAGAAGAAGGTGCCCTCACACAAGTTCAATATACAAAACCTAACAGCTTCTTTAAAAGTCAAAATTATATGACACAATTAAAACTACATGGTATCTCTTCATAAAGTTTGTATACATCTTTCATTATACTTAATCCTAGATATTTGGTACTTTTTGATCTACTGTATTTTTAAAATCTTTACTATTGTCAAATATTTATTATGTCTTACAAATATGCACAAAACTTCAAAGTACAGCTCAGTAAACTATCAAAAAGAGACACTTGGGTTGGAGTTATGGCTCAGTGGCAGAGCATTTGCCTAGCACAATGTGAGGCACTGGGTTTGATTCTCAGCACCACATAAAAAAAGAAATAAAGGTATTATGTCTAACTACAACTAAAAAATTTTAAAACAGTGGTTAACTCAATGGTTAGGRTTAAACAGAATAGAGGATATGTAAGATCTCTATACACATATACACAATCCACAACCTCAAGGATTAAAGCATTCTGTAGATTCAATGCAACTCCAATCATAGTCTTAACAGATTATATGTGTGCATGGAGTTGAATATAATTTGAAAATATGATTCCAAACTGCCACAGTCTGGCTAGGCACAAAATCACGAGCCACTCAAGCAGGAACAAACTTTATTTTTTTGAAACTGCTGCCAATGCCCCATATGCCTCCGGGAAAAATCCGTTCTCCCGGAACCCCAGAGGAAGTTCCTCCCCAGGAATTCCCTCCTACTATACTTCCCCAACCAATGGGAACTCTCCAGGAGTCCCATAGCAGGCCAAAGTGAACAGCAGAAGTCCAATCCATATGAATGCAAATCTTAACATAATCATATCATCTCAATGGCTAGCTGGCATCAACTTTCAACCAAAAACGCCATGCATCATATTACTTGGCTATGGCTCTTAGCACCAAACCTTCTAAGAAAACATAAAATGCTAAAAGTAATCAAATTACTGCTAGAAAGAAATAAGTTTAAAGAACTCACTTTCCAAACAGCAAGACTTTCCTTAAAGCTGTAGAATACTGTAGCACTGATACAAAAAAGAAAAAAAAAGAGAGCCAAAGATCAATGAAACAGAATTGAGGAGAGTAAAGGCCCTGCAAATATGGACATGTGCTTCTGACAAATGAAACAATGAGGACAAGACAGTCTTCACAACAAATGTTCTCAGAAAGTAAGATATACATGCATTAAAAAAACTACATCCCTACCCTACTCACAAAAAATATATAAAGTACAGATATATTACACAACTAATCCTGAAAACCAAAACAACAGTCTTTGTAAAAAATGAAATAATCTGATTAGAGAATGGGGAAAGGACTTAAATGGACATTTCTTGAAGGAAAGAATATAAATGACCAATACGTGTATGAAAAAATGTTCAATGTCACTAATCATCAGGGAAATGCAAATTAAAGTAACAGTGGAGATCACCTCACACTGTGTTAGAATGGCTGTTATAAAAAAGGCAAAAGGTAAGTGTTGATGAAGACAGGTACAAAAGGGAACCCCAGTGCACTGCTGTGCCATCTAAATTAGTATGGCAAGTGGGAAAGCAATACAGAATTCCTCAAACAATTAAAAACAGCCCCAGTATATAATCCAGAAATCCTACTTCTGGGTCTATATCCAAAGGAAATAAGGTTAGTTGTGACATGGGGGTAACAGGTCCCCTGGAAGATAGCATCTCTATGACCAGTTGTCACTTTTAATGTGGATCAGTCAATTTTTTTAAGTGATTCCTTTTAGTTAGATGTAGCCGTAGAATCCTTTTGACATAATTATACAAGCAGAAAATATATCCTATTCAACTACCTCTCCTTTTCCCCATACCCTGCTTGCTTCCCAATATTGATCTTTCTGCCATTTACCCATACTTGGATGGGCTTTCCCATTGACCTTTCTCTGCCTTTGGGGATCTGAGCTGCTTTGTGATTGGACACTCTGTCCTAGGCCGTCCTCACACGAACTTGCCTTTCATTTCACTGAGACTCCACTTACCATCCACCACTGGCTTATTCCATTAAGGGCCCTTGCCTTTGGTGGCTCAAACGCCCTGTGAGTCCCAGGAAGTGACCATTTTGAATGTCCATCACTCCCAGGGTTTCCATTGCACTCCCAACCACAACTTTCAGAGCTACAGTTGATCCCTACAGTCAACTGAGTCCATAAGTTAGGAAGGTCTCACCTCTGGCAGAAGAACTCTCTCTTGGGTCTTCATTACTCTTT